AAAAGTTTAGAAAACTTATTGTCAGTCACAACAGATATGCAGAATGAGGTCAATGAATACGTTTAACCATGAGCTTACTTTAAATCAATCAATCAATCAATCAATCAATCAATCAATCAATCAATCATTCTATTCCATTACCCCCCTTGGGGCACACAATAATCTAGATGCCTTTTTAATTTGCTGTCCTTATCTTTTTAACAAAAGCATTTTTAAATCTGTAGAAGATAGTGTGGGGTTTTCTTCTTATTTGATGAATACCGATTTTTTTTTTTTTTACACTTTACTAGGACCTTTTGTTTTACTTATTTAAATGTGGACACACACAGCACAACAGATGCCATACAGCTGATTAATGCACGGACGCTCACAGTTTTAAAAAGGCATGAGTTCAGCCCGACAGTACAGGTGTTTATGTCAAGATGAGAGCAGAGGCACTGTCCGCCTCCTTCACCTACCTCCTGGGGGTATGGGATGTAACCGGCGTAGGCCAAGACAAAAGTGCAGAACTTGTTAAAATCCTCGACCGTCCTCCTCCTCCTGTATGGCGGACTGAAACCCTGAAACACAGTCACATCGCTGAATCAGTGGCAGCATCAGACCCACACATCCCGACATGGCGTTGACATGAAACCGATCGCCATACGTTCACACTGTGCAAACTGCCACTGAGACTTGGCACGGTGCCATGCAACAAAACGGACCGAAATTAATAAGTAATAACATGTTGACAAACACGGGAAAAAGTTTGATCAATAGCATGGACACATTTCTCGCCGGACTCACAAGTGAACCTTTTATCAACCCCCACCGGTTAACTAAAACGACAGCTAATGTTAGCTAGGTCGACTAGCGGTGGACGTCAAACAAGTAACTGGCTAATGCTAATGGGCTAATGACAGTGTAGTTGTACTGACAACAACACAACAATTACGCAAAGTGATACATACTGTCAAAGGGTCCGAGAGAGTCATAAAAGCATCGGTGGTACTCGATTGTAAAGTGACGATGAAGACAAGACGGCGTGAATGTGATTGGTTAGCCAGCAGTAATGTTAGCATTCTCCGCAATGGTGATGGAATGTTTTCTATTCGATGAAGCACACGGCTAGCTAGCTTTAACAAAGTACAGTCTGAAGTAACGTTAATGACTCGTTATCACATGTTGGGTAAAGTTTTAGTAGCGAAAGTTGACAGCGCGGTGTAAGCGTGTGTGAATGTTTCGCGTGTGTAACTTGACTTATTTGTGTACGACCAGCGCTAACGTTATGTCAACATTAGCGCTGTATGCTAACGCTAACTAATCAGCGGCTGCGGTGACAACCTCGAAGCAACTTGACGTTTTGCTAGCGTCGCTAGCACTGATTGCAAACTCCTCGCTGTCAAAACAGTTACATAAAACACTTACCTCCGACTGAAATGCATGGGATGTCGATGGGTTTATGTCACCCATCTTTACCGAGTGCCCGACCACCTGACGTTTTGTCGATAACCTGACAGGCTTCAGAATCGGGCTCCTCGACGGGACCGTAAACAGTGAGGTTACTGGAGCTTTTTGCTCGCTAGATGCCTGGCGCTGTGGCTAACGTTACCTATGCTAAAACTCGAAGCAACAGTGTTAACTCAGTTTGCCATCAGCACCAACGACAGCACTAGTTGGGACTGTTGCCAACCAACTGAGTTCCAAGTTATACAAAAAAATGCCTCCCGTGACCAGCGAAGGTTGGCTGTCGTTACTACGGTGTTTCCATCGATCTGTCCGGTAACGTCTCCGTTTGATCCAGGTTACTGACTGCTGGGGGAGCGGTTCACTTCGGCTGTCACCAGCTGCCTGGCCCTTCTTCTTCTCCCGCTTCATCATTATTTCGGTAAATCAACCAAATGGTGCATTACCGCCCTCTTTTGGGCTGTAGTGTGAAGGGGTTAAATATGAAAAACATGGTCACTGTACTTCCCCTCTGCTTTTTTCTTATATTCAGGTAAAAGTTTTGGCATCACATAACTTTGAAAGTTGGACCAGCACTGACTCCCAGCTGGGACGCATAAAGTCACGTTTGTGAGGAACTTTCAGAGGATGCGAATGAAAACAGCCCTCTAGTGGCAAACTGTACACACTTTGTCATCCAAGTAACTTGAAAAATAACACCTTTTTTTCAGTGTAGGGATAATCTTAAATATTTTAAATATTAAAAACACATTATGTTAAATAATAGATAGTAAATAAACTGTACCTCCCACACCAGCTTGGTTAATTATCTCATACATCTTATGTATTACTTTATAGTGAGTACAGACAGTATTGTGGGTGGTCTCTTGTGTTTCATATCATACATAGTCCTTTATGATGGCCATTTATAAGCCTCGCCCTGCACTTTGTCCATCTTGTGACACCTGATGATTAATTTTAATTTAACTGTATTTTTAAAAATTATTCTTATTTTATGATTGCTATTTATTTATTTAATATATTTTTTATTTTCTTTCTTTCTTTCTTTCTTTCTTTCTTTCTTTCTTTCTTTCTTTCTTTTATTCTCTTTGCTATTTGGTCAGATCAAATAGCAAAGAGAAATTAAAAAAAAATGCATATCAAACAAGGGCTCGGGTCTTAAGAGGTTAAACACACTGAGCAAAAGTATAAACCCAACATTCAAATGGTCTTCTTTTCTGATTTAGAGAAAAAGTGAAACATCTAATTTCTTTTATTATACAATTTAGAAAAATCTTACATTTAGCCACTTGTGGGCAAAAAAACGTTTTTGAGCTCTTCAACTGGTGACAAATTCGCAACCACTGAGTAAATCCACAGCCTGGCCAGGTGTGGCTTTAAAGGACAATGATCAGATAGTGTGACCAGGACAGAGCCTCCTTTCAAAGACCAACTTAAACTACAGCTTTGTTCAAGTGACATAATGCCAAGAGAAAGACGAGAACCGACCACTGGCCTGCTGGATGCTGCTATGTCAGTTATTGGTGGCCACTTGATTGTCCACAACTCCAACACATTTGTCGTCGTTTGACCGCCAACTTCTCCAAGCGCTTCAGGAAGAGTAGGACAACACTCTCAGCCCTACTCTTCAGGAAGAGTAGGACAACACTCTCAGCATCAACAACCTTATTAACTGTATGCATTGCAGATGTGTGGCTTCTTACTGTCTTCATCTGACCATTATAATTTCCAATATAATCAGTGCTTTGTTGTGTTATGATATCCATTCTATTGTAGATTTTGTTAATGTTGAAACAGCTAATACCTTTTCCCCATGTTAAAAAAAATAGAAAGAATTTGATCAAATATTACATGCTACATTTATATTTTTTATTCAGCATAAAACAATGGGCTGCATATTTGACTGGGCAAAGCAGGCAGCAGCCTTAAGGGCATTTTTTTCTCAGAAGCTCTATAAGACCCAAGTTTCCTATATGATTTCAATGTCCTGTACAATATTATCAAATATTTATTTGAGAACTGTCATAACTAATGCATTTGTCTTTGTAGTTAGGGCTGATGCACTGAACCTCATGTCTTTCCCACAAGTCCAAATACAGATTTCTTTACTTACTGTTCCTATTGAAACACCAGTCAGTCTCTGTGACTGAAGCTCCTGCCATCCATGTGTTAACAATGAATCCTCTCTCTCAGGCTCACTTAGAGTTTTCCTTTTGCCATCTTGATTCAAAATAAGAATCAACTCTGCTTAGCAATTTTGTATACACCACAGAACACGACTGGAAGCGTCTGCATTCATTCTTTTTGTTTCTTCACTTATTTCTTCAGATTTTTTTTTAATTTGGCTCCTGTCTGTAACAAAATATAAAATGTTGTTTTGTATAACACAAAAAGCTTTTAATAATTCTGTGTGTGTGTGTGTGTGTGTGTGTGTTTTTTTTTTAACCTTATAATATGTGTTTAAAAATTGACTACATAAGCTTAAGTATTTGATTTTTTCCCTCATATCACCTGCAGATTTGACTGTTAAATTAAACTTCGGATGTCTTGAAGCTTGATTCATCTTCAGTGGACCTCATATACCCAATACAATCCACAACGTGCTGGTCAGCTACAGGAGTGCATTCAGTACAAGACTGATTTCATCAAAATGCACCACTGAGCGCCACAGGAAATCATTCCTGCCTATGGCCGTCAGATTGTACAAGTCTTCACTCTGAGTGTCAGACACTCTGAGTCAGTAGGTTTACCTTGGACTTTGAACTTTTTAATAATGTGCAATAACTATATATACGTGCAATAATCCATAATACAACTGTGGGTAAATGGTAATATTATTATTACACTGTATATACATATACAAGAGCAGAACATACATTTATATTTTGTCTTTAGATATATTTAATTTCATATAAACACTTGTGTTTATATATTTTTGTTATATATTTTATTCTTTCCTGCTTCTTTAAAGACTTTTGAATGGGAGCATCTGTAGCAGAAAGGAATTTCCTCCAAAGGGATCAACAAACTATTTCTGATTCTGATCTAAGAACACGACTAAAATCATAAATAAGGTATCTTGATGTTTTTTTGTTTGTTTGTTTTTTATTAATCATAGATTTCTTTCGTTTTTCTGTCTTTATTTTTACATATTTCCTTCCAAAACCAGTGGAACAGACATTTGATGGTGTGCGTGTTTGTACTTTTATATGTTAGTATACTTCAGTGTAATTTGCGAAATGCTACTACATGAGTAAATAATTTATATATAACATGGCTATATGCTGCTGAGGAGCCCAGGAGTCATCAATAAGTACAACATATAAAGAACTCTACAGATTACATGTTTGTGGCTCCAAATACAGCTCGCTGTCAGTTCTGCTCTGACCTGCAGGGGTCGCTGAACTGAGCGCCAAAATCCAACGAAGAAGAAACACCGGAAGTGTGCTGCTAGCGTTCCGTTTGTTTTGGTTTTTTTCGAGGCCCTTCGCGGGTGGTTCGAAGAGCTCAACACGTCGTCAAACATTTCGGTGTAGTTACTAATAGTGCTGAAAATGTCGAGCGCCAGACTTCAGACTTTTCGGAGCCTTATAACTGAACGCTTTACCTCCGTGGCTGTGGAGATATTCGGTGAAGTTGAAAGTATCGTTGAGGCGTGTTATGAAGAGAACAAACGTCTGCGGAGCATCCTGGACATGGTGCTCAGCCCCGAGATAAAGTTATCCAGGATAGGTCTGTTGCTTTTAGCTTTTTATATGTCTTTACTGACTAATGCTGGCTACCAGCTACACCTCAACTTGAACTGTTGCATTCCAACAAATTCACGTCACACAACTATATTAATCTCATACAACTTCATGCTTCTACTACGGTGCTTTTAATCATCCTCTACCCAACTATAAACATTCTTTTAAAGCAGGGATTGACAGGCTTTTTGGTGTCTTTGAGCAAAAGTTCCTCACTAACTTTTCAGTGTATTATAATTCATAATTCAAATTACGCTTCTGCAGCCCCTCTTGTGTTGGTTTTCAGGCTTGAGAAACGATAAAGACAGGCTTTAGGCAATCAAGTCTTTTCAGACCGGTTCAAGTGAAAGTATTCCTAGCTACAAAGTCTACACAGGGAGTAGGATGTGGTAGCTAAATGGGTTTCTCTCGGACTTTCTCTCTGTGTCAAGCTGAAAATGACTGATTCATTATTTTTGAAGTTGGGAGTATTTATCAGGTGGGAGGGCTTAGGAGTAAAAGAGGACAGCTGCATGAGGAGGGCTCCACATGAACAGTTGTTGTGTTGGTCCAGTCCTGTTATGATGCACTGACAGTTTGAGAAATACTCTGCAGATACTACAGAAAGGAGAACTGACCTGACACTTAAGTATTTATAGCTCATTATTCATTTTTAAAAGCCCTATCTCCTACAGTATGAAGCTGCTCTACCTGCTGTGATGGTGAGTCTGTGGTCGGATATGTGATTCCTGTTCAGCCATCATCATAACAGTGACTACAGCCACAGTGACAGCCATCATCCCAAGGCAGCAGTTATACAGGTTGCCTTGGCAGCAGTCAGTGAGAGAGCTGCTGAACCAGCCCTCTTAGTTTTTTTTGTGTGCCTGATGGACACAGCTGAGGATGCACTGACTCTCTACACAAAACTGTATCATAGTGCAGCTCATACAGTTTTGAGTATAAGGAGAATCACTGTACCCTAACCTTTGCGTGTAACCAATGTATGTTATTATACCATGGTGGATTTCAACACTGATTACATGCAGTGGGAGTGTGTGCACTGCTAATTTTGCTGACTGAATGCTTACATATATCCCTGAACTTCTAAATAAACACAGTTGTCCTAAAAGCACTGCAGGTTTATATAGTAACAGCCATGTTCATGTATCCAGTCACAGCTTCACCATCACAACCATGAGAGCAGCTAGAGCTGTGTTCAAAGCCAACTACTGGACACTGTTGAAAATTTGCTTTTTAAAAGGAATAATGAGCAATGAATGTCATGTAAAGTGTTACATCATCTCTCCTTCTTCTTTCTACTAAGCAGGACATTCCCCAAAAGTTGTGGTTTATTATAACAGGCTTGGAGGAAAACACTAACCTTTCATATGGATGAGAAGGAACAGAAAGCACATTGTGAGGCAAAGCGAAGATATTGTATGTCAACGCAAAGTAGTCCACAAAAATTGTCACTGTGAGTTTTTGGGGGCTTGTAGAATCAGGGCCACTATAAAACTTCATTGGATTTCTTACTTTTTTTCCCCCTAAATTCTGGTGTTTTTTTCAGAATTTACAGAAAAAAGTCAGACAGCAAATACATTTTTTACAGTGGTCTCATCCTCTTGGGTACACCATACTGCAGCTTTAAATAAAATAAGGCTTATTCGGGGCCAACACCTCTGAAAAAAAGCGTCTACATTGCATGTGTGCAACAAAACCTTAAGGCAATGAAAGACCTGGGCATGATGAAACAAACTCCAAAGATATAGTTAAGATAAAGGAGCAGACATACCTCACTTTATTTCAGTAGAAAACTACATTTATTCATAGCAGTATTTATAAGTACTTTGCATCCTAAGATTTTCCTTAGAAAAATGCATCAAACTCCCCCTCACACAGTGAAGTCATTTAAATAAACTTCATCTCAACTTGCCATACCTTTAACATGCAACTGACATGTTTTGTAAATATAATAACAAATACACCCAATAATACAAAATACACAACCCTCTAGAAGTTGCCATTTTGAATAGTGAGTATTTTGATCTTTTTACCCCCCTAGTGGTACGGATATAAGGATACCACAGCTGTCTCCATATTTTATCCACAAAGCAACTTTGTTTTATGGTGCACAAGAAGAATTACAGTTTTAAGGGGAAAGTACTGTGGCCATAGGCTTTTTATACCCAAAGTAACACAAGAGATGTGCAATTATTTGATATTTCTGTTTTTCTTTTTCCTATGATAGACATTACTCCACACTCTGGGACAACCACAGATGTCATAGAGCATCCCCCTGAGCCAGACACCTTGTTGGATGTTGAAATATCAGAGCCGTTGAGTAAAAAACCTAAAGAAGAGCAAATTGAATGTGAAGTAAGTTGGTTATCAAAACAAGAGCAAGAAGACTTTGAGGCTTACAACTATGTTACACCAGACTGTGTGAAAAATGAAGAAGACGTAAGCATGCCCTGTATCGCTGCTTCATACCAAGTTGAAGTGGTGGAGTGCGCCTTCAACTCTTCAACCACCATCTCAGCTGATGAAGGCAGCCCCAAACATGATTACAGTTCCCCATCGGAGTCAGAAGAAGCCGCAGATTGTCCACAGCTATTCAAGAATGTAGAACACTCGAGTGACACAGAAGAACGGCAAAAATGTCATGAAGCCTCAAAGAAAAGCGTAAGTTTGAAAAGGTGCTTTAGAACCCCTTAAACCTAATTCATTTGGTGAATAAATCTGACAGTGACTAGATATGTTGTAGTAACCAAGCATGGGTTTATTGTTTCAAAAGTATGACTCACAAATACCAAACATAATACAGTCGTGACTCCATAATCCGACCCTTAACAATCCAAAAAACTTACTATCCGACAGGTTTTTAGGAAAAACAGACGGAACCCATAAAAAACAGCCTTAACATATCGACAGCCTTGGATTCCGACTCCAACACGACATTTTATGTTACAGATAAGGATAACGGCGCATTATCTGATTTAACAATGCGACAGATTAGTTACGTTCAGACTGCAGGACTTAATGCTCAACTCTGATTTTTTGTGAAATCCAATTTTTTTGCGAGTTCATTTACATTTCCAGTTAAATGTGACTTGTATGTGATCTGTTGTGTGAACTTCATACGACCCTAAAGAGTCCTGCACGCACAGAAGAGGACACAACAACGTCATATGCAGCGAGCGTGCTCAGTGTTGGTGGAAACAGAACTGGGCCCGCTATCCTAAACTGACATCAGCAGCGAAGTACTGCCTGTGCGTTCCGGCCACTTCCACCCAGTTGGAGCGCTCCCCCGGGGTGGAAGTGTCCCCCCGACTGCGCCGAATATTCTGATATTCATCATTAATTGAGGCCAGAAAGTGTTATTCGGATCAGCCCTACTATTAGAACTATAGTAGTTCTATAAACAATGAATATTAACAACAAATAACCCTTCAAGCATCAAGCCCTCCTTGTATCTCGACCTTCGTCTTGACAATCCGACAGCCTTGCTGTCCGACATAAAAGAAGGTTTTACGTTTAGTGTCGGATAATCGAGTCATGACTTTATGACTTAAATCAGTGTTTCCGATGAAGCATTATACAGAATACTGCTCCTGACCTTCTCGAAGTGTACATGTTTCAGTCCTCATCTTGTGCATATGGTAGATATAAATTAGTACATTTCAAAGTTAATTTCTGGAATTTTCATTAGTTGTTCTCAAGTCCAGACTTGCCCCTGTTGCTCACACAGACTCTGCATGATATGAGGTTTTCTTTTTAAATGGTTCTTTGTGCTTATTGTCGGTTTACAAGAACCAACCTTGTGAACACAAACAGATGTGTATATGGCTGCAATCACAATTATTCAACCTTGATGACTTTGTCAGAGTTTACACATTATAGGTTCTCTGATGATCCATCATTTGCTTGAGTTATGAATTGATAAAGAAAGTATGAAATGTGATCTCTCTTAATATCTCAAGATATTAAGTTATAATGGGTATTTTTCACTGATGTCATAATTATTTAACCTATTTCAACTCCTACTGCTTTAAGTCACGTAATAGCATGTAAAATAACCAGATATACAATAAATCTGTTTGGGAACTCTTTGGTGACACTGAATTTGCTTCAGTGCTAAGTGGCAAACATGGCAAATAGAAAAAAAAATGCTGTCATGAGGCCTAAGAAAAGACATTGTTGGCAGCGTCAGCATCATATGCAAGTTTAAAACTCATGTTAGAACAGCAAATCTGCTGAGCCGTGCAAAACCACGATATAATGGCTTAAGACCAGCAGGATCTAATGAAGTAAGGAACAAAAGTGTCAGTACTGACTATAAACAACCGATTTTCGTGCAAATGTATAGCAAGTTCATGCAATATTTTCTTGTCTTTTTCATAGTTTGATGTGATCGTCTTCTCTCAACATACATGATCCCATAATAATATTGTTTCACATAACTAGGATAGTAATCACTGGAGCTTTCAGGTTGATAATAAATCCAGGATCTGTGTCCAAGCTAACTAAATGATTCCTTGAATCAGTTTGTGTGGACGAGCCTTTAGAGAATAGTACAGATTATTTTGTTTACATTGCAAGCATGGTTTGTTTTTAACTGTTGAAATGAAATAATGATTTTCTTTTTTTTTGGGTGGAAGAGGTCAGAGCAATCCAAGCAGAAGACCATGCTAGAATTACCAAGGTAAGACTTTGAATTACTGCATTTTTTGAGGTATTCCTATTCACCTACTTACATAAATAATCATATTAACCTGTTTGATGCAGGATGACTCCCTGCACATCTTTAATTGCTGATCCAACTGACTGCCAGTCCGTTTTGGCAAGGCTCACTGACACTTTTAAAGACGCTCCTGTTGACAAGAAGCCTCTGATGACCATAGCAGGCCTCACAGCGGATGTAGAATTGGTGGACTGTGCTTTTGGTAAACTCCCTAAAGGTTGCCCCTTGTCCTACCAGTGCCCCATGCCATCACGTCAGGATTACAAGCCACATAATGACGCTCCCCCTAGGCCGCTGCTTCCCCTGTCTTCTCACACTCTGGAGCTGCGGTCTCCCCTTCCTACCCTCAGTATTAAGGAGCAGGAAGCTTTAATTGCCATGCAGATCACCTGGGAAGAAGCATCCAATCTGGAATACTCCACGCGTGGGTGCAAGGACTCTGTAGAGGAGCTGCGTAAGTTGCGCTTGACCAGCCGTTTCAGGGATATCTGCAAGCTCAGACCGGGACGAAGCCATGCAGAGCACCTGATATTCAAGCTCAAGAAGGGATTCCTCAAATGCAAGACTACACAGATGGAGGAGGAAAGGAAGACTGAAGCTCTACGAGAGTACTGTCGGCATATGTGTGTCAACTGGTCCCCCTGTGGTTTTGTTGTCCATCCCAATGCCCCGTGGTTGGGGGCAATGCCTGATGGGTTAGTGTACGACCCCAATGAGAGGAGCTGCTTTGGGCTGGTGCATGTCAAATGCATCAGCTTGAGGAGCTTCGTTGAATGCAGTTTCCTGACCTGTCGTGACGGAGTCTTGCAGCTGAAGAAGAGCCACCGGTACTACTGGTGCATCCAGGGAGAGATGATGGTGACGGGAATATCGTGGTGTGATCTGTTTGTGTGCTCCAACCAAGACATGCTGGTTCAACGCATCTACCGCGACAAAGCCAGCATGAGGATCTTGAAGAAGAAGCTGGATGAATTCTTTTTCTATTACTACTTGCCAAGTCTAATTTAGTGAGTGGCTTCATCACACTGCTGTCTAAGAAGCAGACTTTCAGCAAGAAGCTACAAAAGTACTGGACTGAGCACAAAGAAACTTTACAAAGATTATCTCTTTAGCCTCTGAAGACAGGCATGTGTTTACCATTTTATATACCTCAACACGTGAAAACACGAAGTCACAGCCTGGTGGCTAAAGCAACCGGAGCTAGTGGAGAAACACCCCGACAGTACATAGTTCTGCTTGCTTGGTTGCCTTAGCAGACTGCAAATGACTTTAAAGTTATCTTTTCTAATTGCTGTTGCACAACTGGCCTTATTAAGTATGTCCTTTTCTTATTACTGTTATCTAGTCAAGAGAAAGCTTGTTTTTTGTTACATTTTGCCATTTAATAAATTCCTGAAGCAATTCCAAATTTAATTAGTTTTTAGATTTGCTGCTCCTGCTGTTCACCAAAGGTGCTCTGTTCAAGGGCTGCATCCACTGTGAAGATTATTTTATTTGATTGATTAATCTACCAATAATTTACTCCGTTTTTTGGAAAATATCTAGTCTACAAAATGTCAGAACATAGAGAAGCTTGTCACGTTTTGTTTGAATAAAGTCAAGTCACGGTGGAAATATAAAGTTTTGTGACTATTAAAGTAGAAGAAATGCTTAATTCAGTAGTAATGTCACTGCAGTTTTAAATCAGAGCAGGACTTCAGCAAAGTGTTGCTGGAGAGGTTTGAATGTTCAAAAATATATGATATATATATTATTGGAAATCTAAATAATTCTGTTTCACTTAACCGTTCAGACTAATTACGTCAGCTGACATTTTTTCTTTCATCATGTTCACACGTTGACATTTGAAACCATTTCAGATCTCAGAGACTTAAATGTCATCTTCCTTCTTTGTAGTATTTGTATTTCGACTTCCACTTCAGGAAGATCTTCATCTCTTTCAATATTTCAATGACTGGCGAAATTTGATCAGCAAGCGCACAAAAATTCCCTTTAATAAAACTTTGCTTTTTGCAGCTGCTTCATCTTTATTGTGTTCATTCTGATGTTTCTACTGTTTAGTCAGATTCAAAGAAAGGTGGTAGAAATGTCAAATTTCCTGCAAAAATAAAGCAGAAAAAGATTCAGTGGTCGTGTTGCTGTTGTTCTGAAACAGCATGAGTTCAAGCAAAAGGTTTAAAAGTTTGAATTATGACATTTACTTGCACATGGGTTGTTTAGTTGACACGAGGTGATCTGCAAATACATGTTTTTTATGTTGCTTGATGAATGTTATCCCGCTCTTCCTGGAGGGCTTGGGGAGGTTCACAGACATTTTGAGGGACAGCCAGAGCTGTGTGACACGATTTCTTAGAAGACAAATGTTGGAGTTGTAAAGACAACAGCCCCAACTCACACGTCAGCATCCAACATGCCAACACCCTGATCTCATCTTTTATCATCTGTGGCATCGTGTCTTTTAAATAAAGCTGCATGTTAAGGCGGTCTTTGAAAGGAAGTTCTGCATGCTAGAACGCATACTACAAGGGTTCAATTTTAAAGTGATAAAATGCTCAAATAAACGATATTAGTCAAAATAACATCAAAATCACAGTACGCCCAAGTGCAATATTCAAATCAGAGGAGCTGCAGTTTTTCTCTAAGGGTAAAATGTGCCACAGCTTACTACTGAAACATTGAGGTGCTACAGAGATGCCTACAGATCATGTTCTCCACACATAAAGAAATGTGCTTGTTTGGTTCAGTATCCAGACACAACAACCACTTTGACACATGCCCTCTGCTCTGTTAATCTGACTGAACAGGTCGGTTGCACGTGTGAATGCTCACGCTGGTCGCTTATCTGTAAAAGTCACACTAGAAGTCTTACCAGGATTAGGACCTAGTACCTCGCAACAGTGTGAACTTAGCTGTCACATTAATAGATACACATGCACAAGCAGCATCTCTGTGACAAATACCGATGCTGAAATGTGGGGGGAAAAAATCCTACAAATTCGTACAACTTTAAATTTGTAGATTTTTTTTCCACATTTCAGCATCAACGTCACAGAAAGGGCTCGATCAAAGTTTGTGAGCCAGAATCACAACAAAACTTTTGTTCTACACTTTCAAATCGATTAGGTGGCTAAATTAAATAATAATGATGTCTGATCATTGTCCTGTGAAGGCTGCAAGGTGGCTCGATGGTTAGCACCGTTGCCTTGCAGCTAGAAGATCCCCGGTTTGCATCCCAGTTAGGACGCCTGGGATCTCTCTGTGTGGAGTTTGCATGTCCCCAGTGCAGCTTCTGGCTTCCTCCCACAGTCCAAAAACATGCTGAGGTTAATTGGTGATTCTAAATTGTCCGTAGGTGTGAATGTGAGTGGTTGTGGAGTGAGGAATAAGCGGTGTATAGATAATGGATAGATGTTCTGTGAAGCCATCCCTGGCCAGCATGTGGACACAGACTTATTCCTCTGTGTTAAACTGAATGGATAGAATTCATTAAATTAGTACATGCTGATTTGTATTCAGCATACAAAAAAAGAAGATGAAATGATGAGAAGTATTTGAGGGGAACAGTCTATGGCTATCCCCTCATGCTGCGCGGTGTCCGTCCTGCAGGGGGCGCTGTGTCCTCCCATGGAGCCAGTTAGCAGGACGGTTTCTTTGGTCCACATCAGATGACGTAAAGTGGACCAATGTGTTTTGCAGTCGGACAGTGGAGGGGGAAAAAAACTCATTAGAAATGCTTTGTCATGTGTGGGTGTCGCTGTGTGAAAGCGCCCATTAATCAGCGGGACTCTCGTGTTCAGCCACACCGGGCCGGAGGCGTCTGTCTGCGGCTGTTTTGAAAGCAGCAGCCCGCCGCTCGCTAACCGACACTCGGCTGCTCTCCGCTGCAGCTCCCCGGCGGCCCCTCCGCTCCTTTCTATCCGCCTGTTTTTGTTTTGTTTTTAATTTTTTTTAGTGATAATGGGGATCAATAAAACGTACATTAGTATCGGCTATGCCTCCTTCGGGATGCTCATGGGCTTCTCCGCCTTCCTGGTGTGGAACATCGCGTACAACCAGCCGTGGACCGCAGCCATGGGAGGGCTGTCAGGTAAACAAACACTGGGTCTGCTGCAGCACATCCACACGTACCGTCAACCTGCTGGTGTGTGTGTGTGTGTTTTTATTCCAGTTGAACACCAGTAAACCTCTCAGAGTTACTACCGATTACAAAACGAGCCTATAGTTGGACAGAGGTCACAGATCACACTTTGTTTTGAAGGACAGACGAGTCAGCTGGTCAATGACAGTATTAGAGCTCCATGATACATGAACTCACTACTGTCTAAACTTTGTTTTTTTATACTTATAGTGATAAAAATGATAAAAGCTTTAAGAGTTATTGTTATTGTCAAAATCACAACAGGACCAAGTGCACTATCCAAACGACAGGATCTGCAGTTATTTAATAAGGCTATAAATGTGTCACAGCATATTGTAAACAAGCATTGAACTCATGGGAACATGCTTGTTTAGTTCAGACTGCAGCAAAAAATGACAATCACTTTTTTTCCCTTGCATAACATTAACAACAAATTACCATTTTTGCGTTAATCAGGACTCATATTGCAATTTAAGTCAAAATCATCCCAATATGATTTTTTTTATTGCACCTCCTGTGCCCCTAATGGGAGATTTTTAAAAGCGCTATAAAGTACAGAAAATGTACAATAATGCCAGCTCCTTTGTCTGTTTCCTCCTCATATTAGAAATTGTGTGAGGGCCATATCATTGTCTGCCATGTTTTACTACATTTCTTTAAACCATTTTTCAAAGGTGTTTCACTGTTTGAATGGTGTGTTTCACAGCAGCTGTTGGTTGCAGTTTATTTTTAATCTCAGTGCAAACCTCGGTCTCGCCGAAAGGAAGGAAAAACATGGCAAAAAAACAGAAAAAATCTAGACAGGAAATGTGATGACATTGAAAGGTAAAAGCTATTGTTGTAGACCAGTTGCTTTTCCTTAGAATCATTCAGTGCACGCTTGATATTTACATCACACATTAAAATGGACCTGACAGAGACAGCGATGACACATTTAGACCCTTTTAATTCTGTGAAACAGATAAAATTCTTGGATTTGTGCACAGTTATATAACAGGCTGTGTTAAGGGTTGCAGCCATGAATTTGAACTTTGAGACTGCTGAGGCGAGTCCGGATCTGTAACTGCTGCACTCATGTGTCCACAGGATGTTGTCTAATCGGTTGTGGAAGTTGTTAGACTTTACGAACATGTGACCAAAGATCAAACTGCTCTCAGATTTTTATTTTTTTTTAATATCTTGTAAGTAAAACATTAACCTCATTTTATACAGTTTATATTGGTGAGCATTCCTGATAAACTCTTATAAATATAGTTTTCTACCTGGAAACTAAAAGCTGCAGTTTCCTTGTCCAAAAGGCTGAAACAAGCAACCGACACTGTCATGATGACACGAGTTGAGCATAAATTAAGCACCTTTATGATGGCAGTGTTCTGGTAATACGAAACACTTATTCAATATATAGAATCATCCTCCTGATTTTCACTGAGATGCTTATTTAGAAGCTTCTGCTACTCATCACTTCCTCCTGTTAAACTTAGAATGAAGAAACAAGTGCGATTTATTGACTCAGCAGTTGGCAACGTGCTGTGTCATGACTGAAAATACACAATCACCACAACAGAAGTTCATGACTAACACAGCTCAGTTCACTGACTGTTATTTATGATCAGAAGAATCAGCTGTTGCACTCCTTGGTGTATTTTTTACATTATTGTCACCATTTTGTCAACATGCTAGTTTTTATGTTTACCAAATTTTCACCAATTAATTTCAGTATTATATAAAAATAAACATGCAGAAGTTTAAAACTCACTTGAGAGTGGAAAGCTGCTGTTTAATGCAAGAAAGTAATATTTACAGTATCTACACTGGATCAACTCACACTGGTCTGTACACATTCTGAGTCAGTGTCTCTTTAATGTTGGGTGTTTTTGCTATTAGGTACATTAGTTTACAATACGGAGGGTCACAACCTCAGTTTTTAGTATCACATCCACCCCTGGCCTCATGTTATTGTACACAAAAGGACTGATTTCCACTCAGTTTAGAACATACAGATTTGACATTTGCAGAAAAGAAAGCTCTTGTATTGGATTTGGAATCAGAATCACCAGATAATAGAGTTAAGGGGTTGGATTGATGTGGCCCTGATTCAGGCTACGTTTTTATTTTCATCACATCCATCTCTGCTTATTGTACGATCATAAGAATTTGTTGTAACGAAAGAATACAACTGATTTTGAATGTACTACTCTGAGAACTTCCCGTCCCTTGTTACAGCTGTTACAATGCAATAATAGCACGACAAAAAGTTTCACGTTTCTGGATAAGCTTTTTCACAGTGTATTGTAAGAAATGACTGATGGGGACTTCCAGATACATGTTCCCACCCAAAGCTCACATGACCAGTGGCCCATTGGCAACCCAGGCTCACATGCTTTGAAATGAAAGTGGTTGTGAAATTGCCATGTCAGAGATAACCCAAGATACTAACAATGGTGAAACTCTGGGTAAAGATCTCAGATTTGTATTAGAAGTACCCAATAACTAGTTTCTATGACATGAGAGGTGAAACCAAAAAGAGGAGTCCAGTTGCTTCCTACTGAAGCATTTAGGACTACTATGACCAGGGGATTTTGTAATAATGTGAAAACAGAGTCTCTCTGTTGTGTTTTGTCCTTTTCAAACTGATTTATGAAGCAGATCTGTTCTGAAGACTAACTTGTACGTTTTGTCTCCTCCATCAGGCGTGTTGGCTCTATGGGCCCTGATCACTCATGTCATGTACCTGCAGGACTACTGGCGGACCTGGCTGAAGGGCCTCAAGTTCTTCTTCGTCATGGGGGTTTTCTTCTCTTTGCTGGCAGTCGTAGCCTTCATCACTTTCCTGTCTGTCGCCATCAGCAACAAGGAGTGTAAGTCGTTTCACATCGCTTTCCTTTGTCACATAACTTGTTGAGTACACTGTTTGTAATCACATCTGCTTATCACACTGAACACATGTAACTGCCGAGACATACAAAATGTAAGTGTGAATTTAAGTGGATGTTTTAGTGGGGACCTAAAAGAGATGTCACTCATGATACTGTGTTTTATCCAGTGTTACATTTGTTTTGCAGTAAAGTTTGAAATACTCTCAATAGATTCACTAAAAAAAACACTAAAAGAAAACCAGACGTAAAGTGTGACAAGTGTTATAAATGACAATCAAGACTACATTTAATAGAGAAATCGTTAGCTCTGTCTCTGAACAGATTATTTAATTTGTAAAATACCGTCCAGTCTTCACATACTTTCGTGCACTTCTTTCATGGTTTTAGCAGCACCTCTTGGTTACAGTGATGTGAACTCTCAATACTACAGCATCGAATGATATTTTCGAATATGCTATGTGTCAAGCTTGGTGGCAGTAATTTGAGAAGGGTTGTCATGTGACGGTCCCCCAGTGCACAAAGCCACATCCACAAAGAAATGTTTTTCTCAGTGTGGTTTGGAAGAACTTGACTGATCCGCACAGAGAGCTGGCTTCACCAACACCTTCAATAGATGAAAGATAAACTACAATTCCTTTGATTCATTACACACCTCCACTGGATTATTCACCGCTCTCTCCTTTTTATTTTTTTTTATATTTACAAAGTGTTAAAACGGGAGTCAAGGTGGCATTTGTGTTTGTTTATTTTTCTGTTGCAGAGCTGTGGTGAATCCATATCTCTAAATGACATTTTCTTCTCCGAGCGTGCATCTGATAATGTTAGGGTTTCTCTCAGAGGCGCTGCTTGCTAAAAATGTTACACCCTTCACTTTCGATGAAGAACTTTTCCAGTTGTTGACTCTTTCAAGCAACGTTTTCAGCCTCCGTCCCCCAAAATAGCAGTGCCAGACTCGTGACCCCACCGTCCCCGGAGGTGGTTAAAGTAAACAAACTGTGCATGCACTGATAGGCCCATCCAGACGCAGGCATAAGGACAAAACACAGAAAACACCAGCCTCAAACCGTATTGTTGTTTTATGGTAGTTGAACATAGACTAGTAGCAGAACACGTCAGTCTGATTAATCTCCATGTTTAAACTGTAGTACTGAGAAAACATACAGTATTTAGAAGCAGCAGATTCACAAGTTTAAATAAACTCTTTTGTCATAATTATGATTAATATGTGTCGTTTATTATAAGTTATTCTTGTATTTATGCTAAATCATCACTGCTTTAGAGGTTTCTTTTAGTGCAAGTGTAATTCTTAGAAGAAGTTAAAGAAATACACATTTGGCCTTATCGCTCGCTGGTTCTCTTGTGGCTGAATGGCAGCAGCTCGACTCCAACGTCATGTGGAAACCCTCAGAGAAGAGCAGAGTCGGTTAAAGTAGTGTATTATTACCTGTGATTTCAGAATGAGAAGTTTAATAGTCACGTATCGGTATAATGTCCAAATAGATGCCACATCTTTGAGGCGCTATTTCCTGTTCTGTATTGCTCTGTCTACTACAAATACAAAAGAATGCACCAGTCTGAAGCTGAATCTGTCTCTCTGCTGCAGCGCTGAGTGACCCTCGGAGCCTCTACCTGTCCTGTGTGTGGAGCTTCATGAGCCTGAAGTGGTCCTTCCTGCTCGCCCTGTGCGCTCACCGCTACCGCAAGGAGTTTGCCGACATCAGTATCCTCAGTGACTTCTGAGGGGCAGCTCCCACATCCAGCGGCGGCTACTCAGACTCTGGAGTACACTCACAGTGCTGGTTTCCCAGTCTGAGTGCGTCACAGTGTGAAAGCGATGCCGGAGGAATCACAGGACAGTCAAATATGCTTCGTTTTGTGGACAAGCACCTTGACCCTGGTTACTCCCTCGCCTCGGTGGCCTGTGTCTCCCCTACACCTCCTCTTTTTTTCTTTTCTTTTTTTTATGATGAGCAGGTTTGATTGTTGACTTTTCAGAGAAATCCATCCCTGTTTTATATGATCCTTGATAGACTTTATTTTCCTACCTTTTCCACTTCCCCTGCATTAGTCATGCATCTGCACAACGATAATAATTCCTTAATGTGCTCATTTCCCACCAAGCCTCACTGAAGGGAATCACACGCTAATTATCAGTTGCAGTTTTACAATGTGGCCACTAGAGGGCGTCGCTCCTCCAATTATCTGTGCGGTTCACACGTGCGCTCACATTTTTCGTCATTGCAAGTTCTCCTCACAAGTTTCACATACAGTGATCAAAAGAGGAAAATCTGTACATCACAAATCACCAACGCGACGATGACCGCGACGCTTTAAGATCCACAAACATGCGAGCTCTGCTTCAACAGTGTGTCAGCGCCTCAGAGTGAGCGCTAAAACCCTCAACATGAAGGCTGTCTTGTGCAATTCCCAACAAGCACCACATGCCCCATATTTCTGAACTACAAAGAAAGGGCATTTGTAATATAAAGAATGATTTTTGTAATATTTTTTAACCAGTGTGACAAAAAAAAGAGGAAAAACAGGCTTTAATTCAGCAGCGATACCACTAATATGCATGCTTAAGTATTCATGTTATTTTATGTTATATCGTCCTCATCAAACCCATTTATTGACGTTTATATTGTTGCTCAATGAGATTCTTTTGCTGCACCTCCTTTGTGTGTTTATCTCTCTACACTAAATGAAGTATCATGGTATCGTGTACCAACATGTATCACTTGACTGAATGTAGGAGTGTGTGTTTGTAAAAGAGTAAATCTGAGAGTGGTTATAATAAAATATGTTTTTGACAACTACTGGACATTGGTGAGTTTTTGCAACAAAACTCGAAACTAAACATGGCCAATAACTCTTCCTCTTTTTTTTTTATTAAGGAATTTGTGTTTCGCAGTTTCGGTTCCTCTGAAACATTTAAACCCTGCCACTCTCTGAAAAGGAATTGCACCAGCACAAAAAAAACAAGAAGATTTATTATTTTCCTCATAAGGCTTGTGACTTTAATGTAATGTGAGAAAGTGTCCTGGAAGCAGATTGAAGGTGCTACACGTTATTCTTCCTGCTAAGCCTCGGGTCAGCAGGGTCAGTGTTGGGCATTAGAGTGGGATTTGCACTATGAGAGGAATGAACCACTTTTCCCACCACACCGAGCCGCATTTATGAAGAAAAAACACCCCACAGCATTGCGATTGCAACAGTAAATGCAGGCCAATAACCTGCACTTTGAAGTCAGGCAATTATTCCATCCATCCACATTTTTATTTTGGCCCCTCAAAGGAAAGGTGGGGGTGGGCGCAGAGTGTTTTTGGTGTATGATTTTGTTAAGGCAGCCGCTCTGATAGAAGGACTTTGAAGTTGATGTGAAAAATATGTGACTGAATTATTCGTATTTGCTGTACTATAACTCATTAGGTGATCTGAATATAGAACAATATTTGAGGAAGAAATACATCTCCAAACTCCATCCTGCAGCTGTTGAGGAAAAAGTCCTGTCTGCTGAGCGCTTAAGGGAAGTAAATCTGGCTCAGTGTTTTATCATTTATTAGACTTATCAGTAACTTTGATCCTTAAAAGGCTCCCACTATTATTTCACTTTCTTCTTCTTCTTTTTTTTTTTGCTTACCTGCATCCTTCCTCTGTCTTTTAAGGACATTTTTCTGCGGCACTTATATCTTAATTACATTATACGGGTTTGTTTGTAAGCCCCCAGAGTCTCGCAGCATCAAGGTAATTGCGATGTTGTGGTTAGGTCGCCATGGAAACGCTTTTTTTATCTGGCTGTTATAAACTTCGACATTAAGAAACTGAAAAACAATCCGGCTCACTTTCCATTGAGCAAGCTGGGGGCTTTGGAACCAAATGCGTCCTATTAAGTTTATACACCAGCCTTTAAAAACGTGTGTGTGCAAGCGTGTGTGTGTGTGTGTGTGTGTGTGTGTTGTGTGTGTGTGTAGTATGTAAAGAGAGGGAGGGGTCTCATTTTATTCAATTATGAGACTCCTTTCTACCCAAATCAAGGAAGGAAGTTGTCTTGACTGGCAGTCTGGCAGAGTGTGGTGAGACTGGAAACAATAGTTTAGACATTCAAATAACCCAAATATCCAAAACATCCTGCACAATTAGACACAACAGAGCAACAACAGATGAATCAAGCACTATAGCAAACAAACCGACAGGAGAATTAACTCCTTTTGCACTTCACACGCTCTCGTTCAACAGATAATGTCAGAATTTGAACCTCTGAAACACAAACAAACACACACGTACTGTATTTTTATGAGCATCCACCTGTCTGCTCTCAGACCTGTTTATGTGAACACCATGACACATTAGAATGAGTCACTGTGTTGATACGCAGTTAAAGATTCAGTTCATAAAAGCCTAGTTAAAGCCTGGCATTCGTAGTTAGAATAATATGACAGTGTTAGCAGCAAAATATACAATAGGAGAAAGAAGTCAGCTTTTTTCTTTCGTATTTATTCTTCACTTCGGTTTTTTCTTAATGATGGACTTTGGAAAATATGCTACATTTTACTACATTGCAGTTATTTGACAGTTTTAGCTACGACTAACTGTCCAGTTTACTATCTAACATGCAAAATACATGACTTTCCAAAATGCGACACAATATTATACATTAAACAGCACAACAGTGTATAAAATGGTTTTAAAAAGTCCCCCTTGACCAGCTATAAATAGTAAAAATCTATCAGTAATAATGAACCAATAACATAATACATTAATGGGACCATTTTTCCTGCATCATGAGTATTTTTCTATTGATACCTTAACTGTCGTTTGCAGAAAATTGCTAAAAACTTTTACTTAAATGAAAATTTCTGCACAAAACCGATGTGTTTATATGTTGCAACATTTCTACTTTGACTTTAGTAAAAGATCTGAAAATGTCATCCACCTCTGAAGATGTATTTAAAGCAAAAATACTCACTAGAGACAGAACGATCACTTCCACAGTAATAGATTATATTTCTGGATTATTATTGTTGACGTATTACTGTAAAGGCTGTGCTTCCAGTAATTGTAGCCACTGTCTATAATGTTGAGGAGTTTATTTTAAAGCAATAAATACATGTTGTATGTAAAATCTTACTTACCTGTCAGATGAATGTGGAGTTTAAAATGTACAAGTAGAAGCATAAAAGTGTGGCAGATGTATAAAAAAGCCTAAAATGAAAATACTCGCGTCTGTACTCGAGTAGAAGTACTTTGTTACTTTGGATGACCGATGCACAGGTTTGCTGGCTTTTCCACCGAAGAAGATGAACAGTGGTATTAATAATGCAAAAGCGAAGCATTTGATCTAAAAAAAGAAGCATCAAGAGGAAAAAAAGCTAAATGAAAAGCAAACATCTTGAATTGGTCGAGAACCAGATGGCCTCTTTGACATTAAGAAGTCGCTTTGGCATTTTAAGAAGGCAGTCCCAGAATGATTTCCGAGGAACTTCCGCAAAGCGTGGTACAAAGCCCACAGATATTTAAGCAATATCCATAGCAATTTACTGTTTTATTTACAAACTGAAACATATGTTTCCAGACCTTTGCAGCCCCCTCCCCTCCCATCCCTGCCTATTACCACACTGATTTACTGCTGCACCATTTCTCCCACACTATTTGCTTTTCTCTCTCCGTTCTTTCTCCTTTTCCCTCTGCATCTGTCCATCTTTATCATCTTCACTCGTCAGTCAATCAAACTCCCTCCACCACCCCACTCCACCCCCCGATAGTCCTGTGTGTTCACAGCACAGTAGATGTCCTACCTTCACACTCAGCTATCGTTTTGTTTTTTTTTTGTTTTTTTTCTGTATCCTCCTCTGACTCTTGTGTTTCTGTGTGCGATGCTCACTCTGCCTCTGGGACGACTGCGAGCTCGCATCTGAAACATTTTAGAGAGACACATATTTGCTGTTTTAGAGCACAAAGGGAGATGCCATGGCAGAGGCTGTTTGAAGTGGCTTCACAGGGGGAACCAGAACCAGAGCGAGGGATTTGAGAAACCATAAAGAAACGTTAACGCAATGTAACTTTGGTAAGGCCATCTAATCTAATGGAAGTCAGGACTGATTCAATGTGAAAGCAGACCCCTTTGAAGCTGGCTCTGTTGATGTTTCTAATGCAATAGCTCTGTTGGAGAAACGCAACATTCCTGTGTGCCTCGCCGACAGGGCTGCACTGTGCGTCTGACGGGACTGGATGCGTGATAATGTGTAATCCTGGAGATCCCAGGTTGACACTGTTTCCAGGAACTAACAGTTGAAGTGTGAGGAGACAACAGTGTTTGACTTACTGGACAGGCCGCTTATCTGAAGAAATTAAGCTCAAACTGATGGGTTTTTGTGCATGTGTGTTGTAACAAGATTTAGTATAAAAGGCCCAAAAAGATGTTCTATTTCTCTTGCAATATGAAGGTGTTCAAACATACTGAGAAGAGAGCACATAGTGTCTAATTTATGTGCCAAAATCTCACCAGCATTCACACAAAAAATCTGATTTTTCCTGCATCTTGAGTATTTTTCTGCTGCATATCTTAACTGATTTTTGCTGAAAATTGCTGGAAACTTTCACTTGAATGAGCTTTTATGTGCAGAACCTACTCATATAGTGTTTATATGTTGCAATATTTCTACTTTAACTCATCTGAAAACTTCACAGTGGCGTTTGAATTGGCTTTGGGTTGAACGTGCACTTAACACGTGTTGACAGAGTGACTTCATCGTCTCTCTGTTTTGCTGTCAGCATTCAGGTGTAGACGCTCTCCAACAACAGCTCGCCTGTAAGCAACACTTGTTGCTTGATAAGCTCATTTCTCAAGTTCCCACTGAAGCAAGGATTTTCCAACCCGAGCAGCCACATGGTCAAATCCGATCTGCTGACTCATCGCGAGCCCTATTAGTGTTTACAAAGACAGTGAACATGTTGAATGTGAGCGGCTGAGTCAGCAGTGAAAATGACTTTTGGGTGATGATTTGTTATATATAGAGCTTGATCACGTCAGCGTCTTTCTGCCTCGCTGTTAGTCAGCGTTATGGACTACCTGTTTTTTTGTGTGTGTGTGTGTGTTTTTTTTAATGCATGATGCAGCAACCTTGATAGAACTATTTAATCCTTCGTTATGTCCAGTGAAGTTATGATCCAAATGTTATGTGTTGCCCCGCGTCACATTATCACATTCACAGGGAGCTTATAAGACCTGCTGCTTGACATATGGACACGATATGATGTAACCAAGAAGCAATGTTTCGTGCTCCCAGACAGAAACATCGCCCACTTCTTAATGACTGTATGTTTAATGAATGTCTTTCTTGCAAACTTCAGAAAACAGAAAACCCCTCTTTCGGGAATTTACAAGTTGCATTAATGCAGCGGTTTTCAAATGTTTGTGTCAAGTCTCCCTTCAGAAGACAAAAACGTCAAACCAGGTGTGAGACAATGGTCTTTTATTTGTCTCATCAGACATAAATAACTCTTATTTGGAGATCATTGAATTCTGAGCTGTTTCTCTTGAACCTTCCCTTCGCAGAAATAAGGTGCAAAGAGAAAAAAGACAAATAATCCTTCTCAGGTTTAGAACAACAGGCGAAACACAAGAGAAGAAAGAGATCTTTGAGGCGCAATACCTAGAGGAGGAGAAAAATCCCAGAAGGTCACAAGTCCATCATAGGCGGTGTGAAAAGCAACCATACAGCAAATTCAGAATCACTTATTAACCTACCCTGCATGCAGACACAGTGACAACATGCAAACTCAACACAGAAAGGCTCCAGATGACCAGAAGATGAAA